GCCTCTGCACCACAGCCGCCCCAACCTTTTTGGCTTTACCAAAAAATAATATACCGTTTATTCACAACCTCATATTTTAGTTTGTAAAATCTAATAGAAATACCTCCTTGACAATTAAAGATTTAAGTTGGCTTAAAAGAATTACTCAAATGAAATCTCATTTTTAAGATGCAACAATGTACAGTTATTCTACTACTGTGCCCTCCACCGTGCATTTGGGTCCAGAAATGTGCATAAAATATATTAAAGATAATTTTTAATTCATAAATACGCATAACATGTATAGCTGTTGTTAGAATAAAAAGGTGCTTTAGCTCAAATATGCATGCAAGTTATCAACAAACTGCAAATACATAACAGTCACATTAACAACAAAGGAAACAACATTGAGGCTTAGGTTGATTGGGTAAGTTTTCATCATCTTGACAACCTTTTAATCTCTGCTGGCTCTGCGTAGGATATGCACAGAAACAGACAGTTATTCAAAAGGATGTTTGTCCCCAAAAGGCAAAGATTTTCAGTTTACCATTTCATAAGACAAAGAAAAGAAGCAACTCCTGTTAATTAAGAAGCTGGAACCCCGGTATTGTTTCAGCACTAATATACAGCGATACACATGTACTGAGACAGCCCAATTAGCTACCAGTCAATCAAACTCCATTAGGTTATAGAGCCAGTGTTGATGTCAGCAGGTTTTTCACATGTTGCTCTGCTTTTGATGGTTGTGATCAAATCATGGACTTCTCTCAAAGAAGAACAGCCATGAGCCTCAGGAATTTTGCATTGTTCTGAAGTGAAAAATAAAATAAACTTACGGTAATATGTAACTGAACACATAGCAGCATGCCCCGCAATAGTACAAGTGGCTCATATAATGATAATTATAATAATGCAAGTACTTTCAAAGAGCAATTAACTTTTAATTCTTAAGCATTAAATGTAGATTCATCCGCCACTGAAAATAGTCCCCAACAAATGCACCATTTCCTCTTGTTTGAGTAACGTTTGCTAAAAACTACAGTGAGCAGCTGTTGAATTGAAATGACTGAGCCTTTTAATAAATGAAAGTATATATTTGTGAGCAAGATTTACTCCATGTCTTAAGTAGGAAGCAATGGGCTTGGACAGAGTAGGGCAGAGAGACGGAATAACACCTCCTTTCCTACAAATCAACAAGACGAAATGATCAACAAATGCAATGTGTTGTGGGTTTTAAAATACCATGCAGCAGACTACAAGTAAACCACAGATATCCAAAGGGTTTAGCAATGGTTAAAAAATAATTTAACAACCAGAAAAAATAAGTGGTGTCAAATGGTGCTCGCAGATCCAGCATGCTCAGGTAGAGTTACAAACACACTGTTCCTCAGGTTTGTATTTCTAGCTGACCACAGCAGATCATTATCTGGCTATGGTGCTCTGGTTTGTTGTGAGAAGACCTACAGAGTGGCTCTGCTAGCACCACAACACAGTCCAGATGCTAATGATAATCCAGGGACAGATACTGACAAATATTCAGTCACCCAGCCAGGGTCACAAAGGTTCAGGGGTCAGCTGTCAAATATTTCTCTAGTGACTTCTTTATTGGTGTGCTCGTGTCTGCAGCGTTGCACTGTTAGATTATTGAGCAAGGTGGTGCACTACGAGGAGTCATCTGTTTTCCCATGAAACCTCTTCTATTTCTTTCCCTCCACATACAGTATTTTGTCATATTCCTTCTTGTTATTGTTTCCTCAGTTTTCCTTTCCAGACAAATGGTATGTCCCCGAAGGCCCTGTTATTGTGGCTCCACATAATATTATGGATATAAGGCAGTTTAATTGATGAGAAATTAATTGCATGATCAATAATTCACTGGAAAACCTTTAAATTAATGTATTCATCTTGGTAGTCTGTTTCCTATTGTTGTTGTTTTCCAGCTTGCAGCTTTGTGCAGTGTTTCCTCTGAATGGAACCATGAGTTTTACCACACCCACCACCGAATCACAAATCCTAAAAATCCATCTTAAAATGTTTTTTATTTTAATTTATTTATAAAGTTGAAAGACTTTGAAAAAGTTTTCAGTCACAGGTATTTCTAAATATTGTGTTTTGACTAGTTTTGATCATTAATACTGTAATATGCTTTCTGACATAATTATAAACAGTTGAAAGCCACAAAAGCCATAAAAGCCATTAGAGTGATCCCTGTGAACTACAATCACCGCCAGCAACAATCCGCCTCATTGTCAACATCCGTTACCGTTCACTTCCGTTGTAGGTCACTTCCATTTTGACTTTTGTATTTGGCCTGACACCTCTGGGCCAGCGTAGAGCACATCCTCTCTACTATACTGAACCGCCATGTTTCTTCACTGCCCTGGCTCTGTCTGGGGTATGTTCGTCTCTCTTTTGTGTCCCATGGAAAGAGTTTCTGTTTGTGTTATTTGGTTGTGGTTTCTCTATTTGCAGTGTTTTTTTTCTAAATGCCTCTCATGTATTGCCAAATTGGAGAAGATGTTTTCTTAATTTGCTCGTGTTTTATCTATTTGCATGTGTTTTTTAAGCTGTAGTACATTGAGCTCTCAGGGACATTGTAAATGAACCTATAAAAAATAATTGAACAATTACATAAGGGATTTATTATACAATGATCCTACAGAAAGGATTCCACTATGTGAGCCAATACAGTTTTCAAAATATTTTTTATCTCTTAATCTCTTAATCTCTTAGACTTAGGAATTCCCTACCACTCTTTAACATCATACCCTTTTTGTTAAGGAGGCAAAGTGATGAGAATAATTTTGTCAATGAGAAAATTAGCCAATTATGTTCAGTTGTTGAGTTTAATTTGTCAGTCAATGAGATGTTTTATTTCTGAGTAATCAATGGCTCGTTCAAGTATTTAAGCACTGTGCAGCAGATGAAGTACATTTTAGTTTTTTTGTTGGGTTTTACTGATGGAACATTTGAAGTGAACCTCAGATATCCCCCTCATGCAGGAGTTTCCTTCTGTGTTGTAGAGAGAGGATGGATTTATTACAATGAGGCCAAAGAAAAGGGGATGAAAGCTGCGGGTTGAGCTTATATTTAGTGAGAGAACCTGGCTCCTCCAGCTCAGAGGGAAGCCGAGGTTGGTAGATCCAGCCTGAAAGACTGAACTATGAGACTGAGAAGGTTGGGAAAACATGCATATCTGTTAAATCCATAAGAGTTGAATTTGAGAGATTGCACTGCTTAGAGTTAAAGTTATAAGCCTTGCGGGACTTATGAATACAGAAAAGGTTGGGGTTTGGTGCGTGTAGGGGTGCTGGCGGTGGGAGGTGGGCTTTATTCCTATGAAATGAGGCCAATTCGAGTTAATCTGAAGGTGTATTAAAGTTGCATTTCTATCAGGTCATGTGAAAAGATTTCACAAAGAGAATGATTAGTCAGATTGACTACAGCTCTGCAGCACTCTCTCTTTCTCTGTCTCACTTAGCCTCATTCACTGTCTCTTTCCCATCCCTCCATTTGTGTCAGTGCATTTACACAAAGTGGCCGAGTGAAAAGGACTGTTCAAGTTTAACAGGCCGGAGTGATGCCACACACTGTAACCTTGGTTGTCTTCTGTCTCTTGTCAAAGTCATCAATGCTTCTTTCATCATGCCCTTTTGATGTAGATGTCTGAGTGGCGGTTCTGGCACGACGTTAACCACTTGCAACATGTACGAAGAAGGGAAAGTAGGCATAAATCATCAAAACTCGAGCAAAACTATGTAGAATTAAGAATGTATCTATTGTTAGACTGACATGTTTGGTGCTGCGGCCTTCATTAGGGTCCAGTGGCATCTAGTTTCCAAGATGTCCTTCCAAGTGTATAGGGGAAATTATGGTGGCTGTGAAAAACACAACCTTTTCTCCACACAGTGTTTGGTGTGTCCATTCTGTGATACTGTAGAAACATGGTGGTTAAACTTGGCAGCCATATCTATAAATATATTATTCTATTTCTGACAATAAAGCTCAACAGTTAGGTTGTGAATAAAAATTCCATTCATATTCTTAATAGAGGATTATGATTATTAGCCTTAATGTTGTAACCACCCAGCTAGACTTACCACAAGACCTTGTCCATGTGATAGCAACATGTGCAGTGTGTGTATTATATACACAGTGTTACAGTTACAGTTGTACAAATTGGCAATTTTTCTTTGTCAAATCCTTTTTCACTGAATAAATGTGGGGATTACACAAAATGCAAACTGACAAATTGTGTTAAGCTATTTATTCATGCAATGACAAGATTACTAATTGTTTCTAAGAGTCTCATTTTAAAAGAGTATGTTTGATTTGAATCACAGCTGATACGGGAGGCTAGAAGCTAAGCTAGCAGTTTATAAAAATGGGGTAGAGCAGTGAAAATAATCTAAATATAACATATACTTAAGCTGATATTATGTTTTTTTTAGTTTAGTT